GACGAGAGGAACCCAGATGCGATCGGCCACAGCAAGCTTCGAGCGCAGTCGAGCAGTGGGGGAGGTACGACCAAACTACTAGCAGACGGTGAATACTGAGGGTTCCGCCGTGAGCGTCGACAGACCGCATGAGGTGGGAATGCGGGAAAGGACATCAAAAACCGCGAAAAGTGTCGCTTTGGGGTAAGAGTGATAGCAGTGGATTTAGAAACCAATTAAAACAGGGTTTCTAATGATATGATTGAGGTTTGCCACTTGATATACCACTAAATCCCAGGAGGACCCTTCTCGAAGTCAAGAATCTGAGTGTTCGGGAATGAGACCGTTAACAGTGCCTTTATGCTTTCCGGTGTAAGATGGTTGCGTAATTTCGACTTGAATACCAGTAACTTAGGCGATAATCTAATTTCAGGCGGAAGATTATTCCAAAGGAGGGCATATTTGAAAGTAAAGAAGAAGGAGCGCTTAGATGTAGTGGAAAGAGGCGGTGGAATCACCATGCAGGAGTTGCGCGTGGCATACAACCGATTTCTCGGAGTGAGAGTGTCAATGTGCGGAAGACTGGAGCTAGAGTTGATGCGAAAAAGGAAGCAAAGGCCAGCTTCGAGTCTTCTAACCCACAAAAACCTCATGTTCGCCAGCTGACATCCCTGAGTATAAGAAATACTGGGCGAAGCTTGAGAGAACAGTTTCCGGGTGAAAACCCTCTGTACATTTTCGATTTTATTACGGTCGCAGGCGTTCATTAAACCGAAGAAAGGACAGCAATATTCGAGGACTGAAAGAACAAACATTTGATAAGGTCTTTGCTTCATTTCCGAATGAAAAAAAATATGCCATATGAATGCACATATCTGCGCGGCTTTGGCAGAGATTCTATCTGCATGAGGTGATAAAGCAAGCTTATTTGTATAACTTAGACCTAGGTCCTTTATGGTGAAGCATTCTGAGAGTGGGTTATTCTGAAAAATTATGGGACCAGGAAGTTTGGTAGGACCAAAAGACATGAAACTACACTTGGATGATGAAAACTCCATCTGCCATGTCGAACCCCATCTGCCTAAACGTAGTAAATCGGCATTAATTTTTTCAACACAAACATTTGCGGTGTCCTTAGAGTATGAGTAAACACACTTGAGGTCATCGGCATAAGTAAAAGTTTGCGAATTTCCGAGTTCAGTCGAAATATCATTGATGTACAGCAGGAAGAGTAGCGGACCCAGAACCGTGCCTTGAAATACGCCACTCGTGATCGAGTGAGGTGTGGAGTAGCTATTACCGACCATGACTTCCTGATATCGGTTGGACAGATAGGACCTGATGAAGTCGAGTAGAGGCGGCCGGATGCCGAAAGCTTCCAATTTTACTAAAAGACGTCTATGGGGCACCTTGTCAAAGGCTTTGCTAAGATCAAAGTAAATAACTACCACAGACTGCCGCTCATTACGAAGAGAGGTGATTAGATTAAGAAAAACCAAGTGACATGTTTCGCAGGATCGTTCAGGTAAAAATCCATGCTGACTAGAGCTCAGAAGCCGATTAGCTAGACAGAAGTCAAGAATTTTATTGAAAATAATCCTTTCACGAAGTTTTGCTAGAGACGGCGTTTTGTGCACGCCCCGGTAGTTATTAACATCGGACCGAGATCCTGACTTGAAGACGGGGATGATAATTGACGTTTTCCATGTTTCAGGAAAGAATCCTTTTGAAGTGTAAACCGAGAATAAATCATTAAGCAATATGGGAAGGTCGGACGCTTGTTTAATAATCGAATTCGGAATCC